TAAGGGTGGGGTGGGGGTCCCAACTGGATTCTGAGTGTAGTGAACAAGTGGCACCAGCAGCACCAGACCGTTGATTAGCCCCCATATCAGAAGGCCAGAGTGTCTACTGGTGCACGTCTGGGTCAGTCTCGCACGTGGCTCAGCCTCTCTCTACAAACACAAAGAAACACACACACAGAGAGAGAGAGAGCTCTTATACACAGCCTGTGTAGCCCTGAATGCGTAGACCGGCTCCACATCCAAGGCTGCATTCCTGCAACAACAGAGCAGAGGGAGGGCGAAAAGATCAGAAGACGGACAGGCGAAAATGCCACGCACCCGAATATTCTCTGCCGGCTGCCCTTTCTGGGAGCTCTCTCAGCATAGCCCTGTTTGAATTACAGCACAACCTCTGTACTTGCGAGGGATCAGTTCTACAATCTACAGTGGACGCCTTAAGCCACGGATACAAGGGAACCATTATCTATAAGACGCAAGGGGGAGGAGCAAAGGCGGTAGCCTATCATGTCTTGTATACAGGGCTCAGGCAAACCACGGATACCAATCCTGCGGATACAGGGATTCCATGGCGTTATCCGGTCTGCAGGGTTGCAACCTGGCCCGAATGCCATCTACTACTCCCTGCGCCTTCCTGCCCTTTCAACCAGCTTCCAAGGACAGAGACCTTTTTTAATGCCCCCCAACCGGCCCGAGTGAGAGGGGCAGGGACAAAAACCTTTCGGAGGGAACTTGCTCATAAGGTTGCCATAACTTTGAAGCAACCAGATGGCAAGGAACCATAACAAAGGGGGGGGGGGACAGGTGTTCTTGGGGCTCACTTCTTGGCAGCCACCGTCTTCTGCAGGTTCCACAGCTTCAGGGTGCCGTCCTCCGAGGCCGTGACCAGCGCAGACTCGACGTGGTGGAATACCAGAGCGCGGATGCCGTCGTAGTGACTCCGAAGGGTAAACTTGGGGTTCCATGTTTTCTTGAAGGCATCTTTGCTGTCTGAGAGCTGCGTGTGACGGGGGGGAGGCAGGGAGGGAGCAATGAGAAGAGGGAACGGCTCATGATTTATGTGCTTCCACTTAAATTCCCCTACTTCGGAGGACTTGTCCCAGTATTCCTGCAGCATCCTTCCCGGCTAAGATCACCATCACCGCAAGTGGGTGAGGAGGAAGGGAGAGGGGTGGGGAAAACAGGGGCTGACAACCGTCTGAAGCCGCATCTCCAAGGCTACTCACATCACAGCTTAGCTCATTGTCGTTCGTGACTGTCAGATCAGCAAGGTCCCCCAAACTGACTTCTCCTCCACCAATGGTGTCCATTATAAACACATCTGAGGAAAACCCCAGGGCCCCTGTTTCAGGGAGAAGAGACAAACTCATTTACAAGTGTGGAAATCCGTCAGTTCTGACGGGAAAGGAAGAAAGTTTGGCTGCAAACAGAAGAGAGAGAAAAAGAACAAGAGGACACAAAGCTTAGAGGGTGGACCCAGTCCTCACCTTCGTGAGATCTGGGCTGGCTGGGGATGGCCGAGGGCATGGATGGCTTCGGTGGAAGCCCATCGACGTCTCGGAGATCGGCAAGCATACCTTGCAACTTCACTCGGCGGGTTTCTGTGGGAAGACATTAGACAGGTTGGGAGGAAGAAGGTGAAAAAACAGAACCCAGCAGCTGTGGACTGCCAGATGTAAGCGCTGACTTCAAGCTCATGAAGGAGAAGGTCCTCAACTTCCTGCCAGCATTTCCTCCAACTAAGAGTCATGCCACTGATGACACAGCCGTAATGATGCTGGATTTCAGGTTTGGCATTTGGACACCCACAAGCCCAGCTCCTGGGGGGGGGAGCAATTTACATGGGGTGGGCCCCCGACCATTTATGATAAAGCATCTTGGCAGTCCTGCATCCCCACACTCAGAGGTGGGAGACAACTCTGAGAAAGGAGTCCAAACCCTCCCTTCCCCACAATGCTCAAGACCAGATCTCCAAAACAGAGGATGCCTGGCCTCCCTTACCAAGCTCATTGCCGTCTCCGGCACGCCGCGTGTCCCCGGATCCTTCGCCGTTCTCTCCGGAGCCCAAGAAGTCAAACTCACTCAGTGCATCTTCAGAATCCTCGTCGTCATCGTCGTCCTCAACTTCGGGCATCAGGGGCTTGTTGACGAGCTGCTACGAGAAACGCCGTCTATCAGAGCCTGTGTAGGCCGAGAGAGGGCCGCGTCCGGGGGGGGAGGGGCACAAGCTGGGAGAGAGGAAAAGACCCTTCTCTTGCGGCATCTTCTCTGTTCAGAAGACTGGCAAAAGCGAAGCCACGTTCCCTTTCCAGTTTGGAGGCAAACACGAGCATAAAGAGGTCGGGAGGGCGAAACACTTCACGAATATCAGCTATTGAAAATGGCACAGATTTAAGCGACTCACGTGGGAGCCTCCAGTGCCCTGGGACTGCCAGCCAATGAAGGCAGTGCTTAGTAATAAGAATTGCTAGACAGGAAACTGAGGAAATCTCAAGAGCACAGCAGCCTGCCATGAAAGCCCCTATGCCAGAGGATGTTGAATCCGGCGGATTTATTTATTATTTTTTGGCCTCTCTGCTCCCTCTTCAGGGAGGGAAGGGTTTACCTTTACACGCTGCTTCTTGTGTTGCCGCTGCGTCTCCAGGGGCAGGTTTTCCAAATCCTCCTCTTCGTCGCTGTCGTCTTCTTCACAACCCTGTAAGAAGGGGAGCTTCTCCATCACTGCGCTGCTTATCCGATCCTTGGCTTCCTTCCCAGCATTCCTACCAGCCAGAAAAGCAAAGATGGGCGACACTGCCAAGGCCCAATTTAGGGCCTGCAGCGCCCCCGTGTGAAAAAAGGGAAGAACAGCAGCACCCTTATTATTATGGATTTGAAATGCAGGGGTGGTGGTGGTGGTGGAAAAAGTCTTGTTTGCGAGTGAGAACTGAACTCCAAGAGGAGCTGGAAATAAATGATCGTCCCAGCCTAGGGGTTCCTGCCCTTCTTCCCCCATAGTTCTGTTCCAAACTGACGTTACCATTTGATTACTGCCTAGCAGGAGGTTTGGAACAGGGCCTGGATCTCTCTCTGACGTCTTTTATCTGTGGATTTCTGCACAGGAAAAGAGCTGGACTAGATGACCTTGTGGGATTTAGCCATTCTGCAATTCCAACTTAGCCATTCTGCGACTGTGTGACCAACACCATTGCCACTACTTATCCCATGCAAAATCCCAGAGACTAACTGTGTGACCAACACCATTGCCATATTGTCATGGCCTTCGCTACTTATCCCATGCAAAATCCCAGAGACTCTTCCCTGACCACAGATGCCCCTGACACTTTACGCCTTTACTTGTATTTCATAAGAGCTAAGAAAATTCAAACTCCAATTCTGGTTTCAGGAGAGAAAAGCCCAAGAAAGCTGGCATTAATCACGACCTTCCTCAAATGAAGATGCCTCTCCCTCCCTCCGACTCTGGTGAAAGGCCACTGTCGCTGGCCATCAGATGAATATGTAAGAAGCAACACTAAAGACTGCATAAGACCTGAAACCCTCTTGACAGAGCCTGGTGGGGCTTTATCCTGGTAGGATGTCTGCCAATGAAAAGAGAGACTGGGCAAACTAGAAGGCAGAGCCACGCCCTCTACAGCACAGGTGAGCAACTAGGCCAGGTGTTTCTGGACCACAGCTCGACATCCCTGCAGGTTCACAGCAACCCACTAGAGCTCCACAAAGTGGGATGTGAAGAGGACCGAGAAAGCTCTTGGTCACTCATCACATTCGCTCACCTTTTGATCTGCTCTTCTATCTGCTTGACGAGGAGCGATTCCCCCCCATTCAGTCCAGGAGGTCCAGAGGCAGGCCCGGCTCCCAAGCCGCTGGGTTCGGTGGCCCCGTTCAACTCCATGGAGCAGCGGCCCAGCAGAGCCCGGACGCGCTTGGAACGCATGTCGAGGATGGTGTCCGTGTAGCCCACCTCTTCCAGGTACCTGGGGAAATCCAGCCACAAAGGGAGAGGAGGCAGCTTCCTTCAGTGTATTGCTGGAGTGGCCACTGGCAAGCCCTTGGCTCCAGATGCCCAGAGAGCAGCTGCCAATGGGGCCGCCAGCTTACGATCCACAGCTGGGGAGGGGGGGAGGTCTGGCACCCCTGCAGCCTTGCTCCCAGACCTTCAGCCCCAGAAGTTTACTCACTGGCGGAGGAGCTGGCGCCCTTCTTTCCACATAAAATGCGTGCTTTCCAAGGAGATGGGTTCTGTTGGCCCATTAGAGACTGGGTGGAAAACAAAGGAAGATTCTCATCACCAATTCCTGCCCCCACTGTGGGGAGATGGTAAGATTTAATTTTCTGATAGGACCTCTTTTCTTGAAGACTCCTGGACACCCAAAATTTGAGACATTCTACCCAAGTTTTTGTTTTAAGACAGAATTTTGTTCTTCCTGTTTACTGAGTTCCATCTGTGTTTGTGGATTTTACAAAGTACAAGATGGATTTTACAAAGTACAAGATAGCAGACCCCTGTCTGGAACTCAACTAGAAATCTGACTTCATTGTATGAAACCAACTTGGGCTCCATCACTGAGTGACCGCTCAACCCTCTTCCCACAACTGAGGCTACCATCCCATCCTCCTTCCTCTCTCCTAGTTGCAAACTGGGTTTGATGCTAACAAAGCACCAGACCTACCATTTTTTCCCATTTCTTTAAAATTACTTATAGCCCACCTTTCTACTTGTTGCCAACAAAGGCAGATTATAAGCCACAAAATCAAATGAAACATAAAAGTGAATTCCCAGAAACCAATCTTTAAGAATGGATTAAAAGAGAAACAGCCCTAGGAGAACAAAAAATAACAAACCAGTAACATCTTGAAAATACTGTAATTCACTTGATACCTGAATGGTAAAAGAATCACCGTTAAGTGGACATGTTTGTGAGGGATGTAGCTGAGGGAAGACAGTGTTTGGGGGAAGCCGCCTAACCCACAGAAGGAAGGAGGCACTTAAAACCAGGACAGGGTGATTAGATGGACAGGTTTCTCAATGTCTCTCTCTGTATAGCATTCCTTGTCTTCCGCATCGAAAGACAGAAATCAGGGAGCAGTGGGTGGACACCTACGAGCATCAGCAGGAGAAACAGGCCTCTCAGCAGAGCAGGCCCCATACCTGGTTCCGAGGCATCTGGTTTCTTTTCCCCCTGGTTCAGTTCAGTGCCAAATTTCAGCTTGTGATACTTTGACCTGGAAAAGGCAAAGCAAACTTAGGCCAGAAGACACCGGCGGAAGTAAACGTTCATCATTTCCTTTAAAGACACGGACGCTATGTTACGTGATGGTGAAGTGGCCAGCACCCAACCCTGCCTGGAGGGCATCTGGAGAGGAGAATCTTCCCACCGCACCAGGTGGAGAACCTACTGCCTCCCAAAATGAGGTTTCCAGTCAGAGCAGCTAAGGGATGTTGTAATCCCAACTAAGGTGGTCTGCTCTGTCACCAGGCAGAGAGGCACAGGCATGGAACAGGGCTCACCTCTCCTGCTTCAAAGCGTATTCCAGCATCTTTATCCTCCGCACAAGATCCGTCTTCAAGTTCTCTTGGCCCTTCCTCTCCCCCTGAAGAAAGGCTACTTGTGCCTGGAGGAGACAAGAAACGAGAGTGAAGGAGGCAGTATTCTGACAATGCCCCTGGAACACAGTTCCACCCAAACATCAAGACAGAAAATGATATTTTAGGCTGGAATACATCGCAGCAAAACTTAACAAACGTACACTGAAATAAAACAAAATGTGTTTTTCTCCTGCAAGTGTTCTGTTCTTGCCCCCATTGGTTTAACTGCTGTGATGTCACAGTATTACCAAATGTTCATGCAGCTGCTTGATTGCAGACCAGAATAGGAGATTTAAAAAAGCTTCTACAGGGGACATGTATTTATTTCATCTAAATATTTCCAACCTATTCTCCATCAATAAGGTAGGACACAGTCAATGAAAACGACGAGCCATAACCCAAAGCAAGATGAATGGCATTCAAAACAAGAAGTTGGGCTGTTGCGGAGAAGCTTGGAAAAGAAGAAGTCAAGATAGAGGGAAAGGTGGCAAAGAAAACTTCACGTGGTTTCTAGAAACTGGACTTTGTGTTGGTATTGAGAAGAGCCAAAGAACCAAAAAAGGGAGCGAATTGCATCCTGGGTGACCTGGCCCAGGAACACTCTCTTTGTAAGATAAGGATACAGTATTTCAGTATATCCCAGGAAAACAGGAAGGACATTATCTGAAGGGAAGCAGCTGTGGCACTGCATCCCAAATTCATACTGCAGTAAAATCTAGCCACTGTTTCAGATTGCATAAACGGAGATGCTTTGTGAGTTAATAATACCTAAAGTGCTCTTGAAAACACACACAGATGCACACACATGCACACACATACACACCAGAATGCATTAAAGGTGTCACTAAATGCACGATGAAACTTGGCAGGACAAGGACACTATTGTGTTTTACAGAGGTAAGAGCATCATAAACGGAAGAAAGTTGGTGCCTTCCTTTCTCGAACCTAAGGTGGTTTGAAAGGGGATTTTGTTCCATTTTTCATTTCTGTGCGTCTATTACATCATGTGGGCCTCAAGCACACTGTGATCCCTGCCCCACTGAATATCTACTGATCACCAGAAGAAACCTCAAGTAAACAGATTTTGCAGGTTTTTGAATCAGTTCGAAGACCTGAGAAACTGGCTGGATGGGAGGTGGCAACAGGACCAACAGAAACTGTGTACAGCGTAGGAAGCAAAAATCACTTCCATTTCACTGACACACAAGGCTTCCTGACACCATCCTTGATTTTTCAAAAGGAATATTAAAATGATCATATGCCACCCTAGACTTCAGCTCTCAGAAAGCCCGCCCTGTAGCCCAGGGCATGTGACTCTGGTGGACTGTATTCCAAAAATCACTTCAATCATGCGCCCCGGTGTTGCAAGGGTCTCACTCTTCATGTCAATGGCGCCGGGAGCGCCAACGTTTCTCTGCTCGGTTGGCCACTCTGGGCAGGGGGGCAGGAGGAGAAGTCTCCCCACACGGCTGCAGAGCAGCCAGCCGAGCAGGGAGATGGCAGAGCTCCTGGCATTATTGGTGGGAAGAATGAGACTTTCTAAGCATCAGGATGCACGAGTGGATGGGCCAATTCCAGGGGCCAGACCTGCATTAGGGGTGCCATCAGTATGGGGATAGTCATATTCATCTACAAATACGAATCTCCCCATTTCTAATACACACTTCTTTTCAAACTTCTTTTACCTCTTTGAAGAAGAAAAAAAGAGCCACTCTGTTCTTAACCTTGAGTCCATGACAATCCATGTCCCCCATCTCTTCCTGATGGCTACCATGGCATTAGGGGATGGCCGCACCCCAATTGTTTTGGGGGTGGGGTGTGACAGGTGCTGGCCTTCTGCTTCTCACCTACGCTCCCCTCCTCCAGGATGCTACTGAACAAGCTGCAGTGCTAGTCACCCACTCCGTCACCATGGAGGGTAGGGACGGATCCTTCCACAGGCTGCCAAACACAGTGCAAGAGATGTCAGTTACAAGCTGCCTCCTCCTTTTTTTTTCAGATCATACAGACACATCCTCCAGGCCTACGCATGTGTGGGTGACTAACTTCTTTCCTCATCCCGACAAAGAGACCAATCAATCCAGCCTCCAGCAGTCTTTCAGCTTATCTCCCATGCAATGAAGGCACGAATCAATCCAGCCTCCAGCAAATATTCCCCCATCCAATGAAGGCAGCCATTATTTCAGTAACGACACCTCATCTGTCTCTTCTTCCCCATTTCAAGTGTTAAATAGGACACAGACAGCTTAAAATGGACCTTATCTTAACCACTCTTTGAAAGAAGTTCTCTGAAACCTGTGGGATACACCCCTGGTCTCATGGTCTTGAGGATAAACACAATTTGAGGTTCCTATTTCAAATTCCAGGCTTAGGATTCACCGATTCCTCCTGACTAATTTCCTAACTGCGCTTCCCATGCATATCTCCCCCACTGATCACACCTCACTTAATGATGGTTGAGAGAGAAATAAACAGGTTCTTCCCACTGCTCCACCTAGCTCAATGGGTGTGTAAAAGTACCTCTGCAGCAACACAGCTGGCCGATTCGAGCCCTTGCTCCATGGAGGCTGGGTAGCCATGAGTACACTGCTTACACACCTGCTGTGCCCAGAAAAGATGGAGAAGAGGCCAGGAAGAAGCACAAACTTTAAGAGCATCTTGTGAACAATAGAAAGACCTACTTCTTGCCAACCTCGCCCTCGTTTAAGAAAATAAGGACAACATCATCTGTTTCCACAGGACTATCCCAGCTGAGCTGAGGAAAGTACAAGTGTTCCTCTTAAGTCAGAGGAGCATAACCCCAAAGGAGATATGTTTTGTATGTGCAAAGAAGTACAAAGAAGTGGAAACAAACAATGCTTTCCAGGATGATAATAATGCTAGTCAGATGGAGGAGTATCCGGAGGAACACAGGAAGCTGCCTCCTCACAAGTGTGACCGCTAGCCAGGCCATTTTAGCCGAGCCTTGCCTTCCCCATAGAGGGCCTCCAAATGTTGCCGGACTCCAACTACCGTCAGTCCCAGCCGCCACAGATGATCAGTGGAAATGATGGGATTCGCTATCTAACATCATCTTATCTAGACTGTAAGCACAGGCCATTATTCCAACCGGCAGCATCTCTCCGGGATTGAAGAGGGGAAGTTCTCAAGCCTTCCCTGGAAATGCCAAGGCTTTGAACCTGGGACCTTCTGCACAGCCTTCCTCCGAGCCGTTTCTCCCTCCTCCTTCTCATCTGGACAGCTTGGCAGTTTAAGTCTCTGGCTGAGGAGCCAAAGGTTGGGAGTTCGATTCCCCCACTTGACCTCCTTGACAGGGGCTGGACTGGATGACCCCACAGGGTCCCTCCCAGCTCTGTAGGTCAAAGATGATGATCAACCCTCCTGAGTTCTGTGATGAACAACAGCTCCCGCCACCTAGCCGTGTCTGCGAAAGCTGGGATGCCTCTGCCCGTTCAGGAGTTTAGCTCATAAGATCACCTGCATACCAAACCCAACTTTTCATGCATCTTTGGCTCCAGTGGCAACGGCTGACCTTGCCAGCGCCTGCTTACCCTTTGGCAAACGAAAATGGTCCGCTGGCTAACCAAATAAAAAATAAAAATAAAAAACCACCACAGGCTGACCCCGGTTGCTCTATTTCCTATGAGAATATTTCACACAGCACTGAGGGGTGGGCACCCTGGCACCCGACAATCCCTAGGAACAAAAAGAGTTTAATGGTTTGGGGGAGAATGAAGGAGGCTTGTCTGGAGAGCCACATGAAACAGGCTGAGGAGCCGGAGGCTGGGAGTTCGAATCCTCCACAGGTGGTGCCTCCTGGACAGGGGCTGGACGGGATGACCCCACAGGGTCCCTTCCAGCTCTGCAGTTCACAAGATTCATTCTTAGATAATGATTATTCGATGAGGCCAATGGCATCGAGGAGGGAAGGCCACCCAGGCCCCTCTTTTGGGATGCCAGTCTCCTCCACGGGGCAGAGGGGGGGGTCAAGAGATACGGACACCCGAGAGGTCA